GCTTTTTACATTTTTTTTTATTAGCAAAAAACATTGGTGGTAATAATAGTCTTTTAGGAAAACGGTATTGAATGTTATTTTTTTTCTAATAATGTAATTTATAACAAATTAAATAAAATTATATATATAATAATTATTTTTATCATAATTAATACATGTCATTAACATATATTATTATTAAATATTATATATATAAATTGAAGTGTAGAATATTATAAAAGTATTAAATATATATTTTATAATATTAAAATATTATAAAATATGTATGTCATTCTTAAAAGAAAGATATGACTGTAAATTCAATAAATAATAATATTGTTGATGTATTATTAAAAGATAAGTAATGCCTTTGTCATGGCATTCTCGTGTTTACCAGGATTGATGAAAGAATGTGATGAGGCAGACAGATCCTTGATACCTGCAGCCTTGGAAAATAAGGATATTCTTATTTTGCAAGAATGATAGCATTTGTTATACTACATTCCTGAATACGAATAACCACATCTTTTTCACAGCGAATAACTCGCAGTGCGACTCCAAGAAAATTTATAATAATAATGACGTAATAGAGAGATGCTGCTAACAATAAGTAGAGTCTATAAGTTCATTTAAGAGAATGGAAACTTCAATAGATCAACTTGTCATTTTGAGGATACGCGCGTCATCGTGCGCATCACATATTAAATTTCCAGTTGGCTTCGTGATACGAGAATTTGAAATTTGATATTAATCGATACACCGATCAAAAGTATTGATTGACAATAAAAGATAAATTCCAAGCCGAAAAGATAATTGTGGCACATTAGCTTGTCATGATTTTCTTTATTGTTATTTTAAAATAAAGTACGTTTGTCACGGAGTTTCATCCTTTATATCCTCGATGCAACGCAACCTGGATCTCGGAGCAAAATCGTGCGGTCACTTTCGACCATCTCCTCGATAGATCCACGCCGGCGACTGTGGCCGCGGGGCACACAAACGAAACGTAGGGAAGAATTATAACTATAAGAGCGGGATGAAGAGGCCACGGTGAATCGGGAGAAAGGAAGAGGGATGGCGAGACGCCCCCCGTCGCGACGCCGTCGCCTAATCATTCTTTAAACGTGCATAAACAAGTCTCCTCGCTATAGCGGTCAGAAAATAGTATATGACTAATGTCATTCCTGTAAGTCGAGACCAGCGATCCCCCGTTTTCAACTCCCGCTTCCCTTTTCGTTCCTCCCCGTCCATCTTGACACCAAGCACGTTGACTAGAAACCAGAAATCGAAAGCGAGGGAGGCAGCGAGTGAGGAATTACCTGAGGAATACAAGAGGGAGGTTGTCCATCTTGACCAGAGGGGGTGAGGAGTTGATAGGAAGAGGAGAAAGAAGGAAGGACAGAGGGAGAAAGAGAAAGAAAGAGAGAGAGAGAGAGAGAGATGTGGCACACAGGCGCAGCAGCCTAAATCTAAAATGCAAATACACTCAACAAATCACTATCGGCGACAGGCATCCTTACTTTTAAAAAAGAGGAAGGAGAAGCTGGTGTACCGGACCCCCCGTCAGGGGTTTCGGGGGTAACCCGAGCTCCCTTGAAGGCGAATTTACACCGCATGCGGTCAACGCCTGTTGATGCATCTTTCGGCTGCTGCCTTGCGGGCATGACACCCGCATCTTCCTTCTGTCGTTTGTAGAAGGTCGTGATTATCGCACGAAAGCATTTGGGCCGATTTTCACGGAATTGAAATATATCGCTTGATGCGCCTCATGTTGTTTCCTAGAGAAAAAATATTATAATTAATAGATAAATATTATAATTAATAGATAAAAATATTGTGATTAATAAATAAAAGTATAAAATAAAATTAATAAGTTAATAATGAATCAAAATTAATACAAATGCTCTTATGTTATTAATTATTATTTATTATATAGAATCGTAGTAGGAGTGATATTGCTTTAGTAGCTCGCATCATGATTCGATGATGAAAGTAATTATTATGTCAATGACAATATCACAATTGTTATAATATTGTACAATAAGTGCTAAGGATTATCGACTTATTATGTCAATTACCGGGCTTTTATCCTGATTCAATTTTTCGATCGTTCGAATCAGGACAAAATCTACATAAATCGCTTTGTCATGAGATAGTTGCGTCGTAAATAACAAGACATTGAGAAAGGAAATTATTTCATAGTGCGTGAAAATTCAGACATCAGATTCAACATTTATTCGTATATCTTGATCTCTTATCTAGCAATATAAAGCACGCGATTCTCTCTTCGGAGCGGGATTTTCGCGACGAGGATTAATCGTGACACCCGGGATAATGGGCTCGCACCGAGGTGATGGTAAAGAGAGCAGTCCGAATGTGTAAACGGCGCTTTAAAACGCGGCGTGTCGGCGGTGAGGTCCTGACTAATGGAATCACGCTTCGCCTCCTGGTGATACGTCCTCCTGGGGTGGAACGAGTCCCTCTCGCTGGACCGGTGTGCGTGTCTCTGTCTCGCTTTCATCTCGGGGTGAGCAGGAGGGGGGGGGGCAGAGAGAGGAGATAAGTCTCCTCTAGCCACCATCTCATCTAGCGAAGAAAAGGGTCCCTTCGTCGAGGTGGAGTTATATGTTATTTATGCGCGAGAAACGAGAGGCTCCGAGAGAGCGCGAGGCGACGGTGCTGAAAGTATCACATTTATTTCCTCGGCCAGCGCGAAGGATAGGATAATATACCGGGCGCGCGACAGGGAGCACATGCACGCACACATATGAAAGGAACGGGAGTCGCATGATTCTTTCTCTCTTTCTCTCTGCTCGAGCACTGGGTTGCGAGTAAATCATTTTTCACTTGGTTTTTAATTTCCAAAATATAATCCGTGTGAATAGTCTTTGCCGTACGCGGTTAGACGCATGCATATCCCTCTCTCATGGATACGTATTAATCTTGGAAAGCATAAACTGTTGGATGTCTAGCATGTCATGATTGTGTGAGAAGAAATATAAGGTAGATGCGTACAGCAACTTTGAGCATTCAATTGGACCAGCTGATGAAAGTATAATGCGAGCGTACAATCTTATCGCGTGACGCGTCATTTTTCACTGGTTAGTCGGTAATTAATAATTAGCCGTATAAGAATATTTTTTTTTGAAATATAACACATGTAGGAATGATTATTTTTAGAATTTTTTTTTCCTCGCGGATAACTACTAGCGCGTTTCGATATCGGATTTTATCCGTGGTAGAGAAAAAAAGAATGATTCTCGCGCCGATTCCTGCTTAGCCTGCTGACTGATTCGTGCGAAATAAATACCTAACGATCGCTCAAGCCTGTCAAGAAGTAAGGCTTCAATTAAATAAATGAGCGGTCATACATCACGAAATCAATCTGTTCAATCATCGCTTTCTCGATATCTTCTCGTTAATTATATATAATTCGATTTCCGGACGCGAGATTCGTGAGATTAACACAGAGAGAGAAAGAGAGAGAGAGAGAGAGAGAGAGAGAGAGAGAGAGAGAGTGTGTGTAAATTCGCATAGCATATAAGGTGACATATTTGTCTTATTGAGCGGCGAGTTTTTCTTCGTTTTTATTTCTCTCTTTTTTTCTTTGCTTGAAGAAAGGCACGACGAGCTGGCTCATTAGTCAAAAGCGGAGCTAACGATCTGCGCTTATACGAACGCGATAAATTCGCGGGCTCGTTTGGCCGACGAATCTCGCTAATTTCGCGTCGTGAGACGCGTGTAATACGTGTATACCCGATGGGAAAGGCCGGAAGGGAGACCGGGCGGAGGGAAGGGGAGGGAAACGGGAATTTACATTCACAAATTGCAGAAAGTTCGCTGAGAGCCGGGCGACCTCGCGAACGGTCCCAGGATATACCGGCGATCGAATTATCCCGGGGATTGTTTAACGTAATTGGACAAATCAATCTCGCGATCCCGGACGGGGGGTCCACGGACGTCCGTACTCTCTCTCTCTCTCTCTCTCTCTCTCTCCTCGTCTCTCTCTTCGTTTTCTCTTCGTCGTCTCGATCCTCTCCTTCATTCCGCCTCTTTGTGTCCCAGCCGTTTTGCGATACCGCGGCACCAACGAGCGTGTAATCGGTTGAAAAGGGAAAGAAATTGAACAGCCATAAAAAAGAAAAAAAAACAAGAGAAAGAGAGAGAGAGAGAGAGAGAGAGAGAGAGAGAGAGAGAGAGAGAGAGAGAGAGAGAGAGTGAGAGAGAAAGTGAAGATTTAGACGAGATTTCATAGGTGTCGATGTATAAAAATAAAGACATTACTTCCCTCCCTTTGTGTAATTAATCTTTGAATCTAATAATACATATTGATATATAATATAGTATATATTATTTTGAGGTGACATATTTTTCTAAAAATAATATATGAAGTTGAAATAGAAGGACAAGCATAAATACATATTGAGATACGTACATTAATGTTTCAATCATAACCAAAAATTTTTCAAGCGGTTCATCCGCATTCTATTTATGTAACATATGACATATGACATACTGACAAAAATAGATTAAGATAAAATATTCTCCGACATCTTGAGTTAATTAAAACCTAACCTGTTAAACTTAAATAAAACTAAGAGATTAAATATTGTCTTGATCAACTTTTTATCAGGTTATTTATCGAACATCTTATTCATCGAACGAAATTAACATTCTAATAAATATAACTTCGATAAACGAGCAAAATAATTATAAGAAAAATTAGGATTAGAGGAGGAAAACCAAATAGAAAAAGAAATGAAAAAGAAAAAGAATTATAGTGCGAAAAATGATGCGTGTCAAAGGGAAGAGACCAGCTGTATCACGTCGCGAATGTGCATGTAGCCGAAAGAGGAACAAACGGGACGAGAGCACTCGACAAGCAGGGGGGGAAAGGTGGCAGCGGGGGGATGCGCGGGAAACAAGGAGAGAAACAAGCGTCCGGGCTGTACGCGATCGCGGAGGCGAAGATGCGTGAAAGTGGTGGTGCTTAGTAGCGATCTAATTATCTACGCGGCGGGATGTCGCGGCCTCCCTCGGCGCTCTTCACCGCATTGAGGAAACAAGAGCAAATTGAATCGAGGTGGATGGATGTTGCTCCTTGCTCCGGTCGAAGGGAGCTGAGTCGTGGTTGTAAGACGCCACCTTCGAAAGCGGCTCCCTTCGATGATTATCACGTTACTCAAGTAGAGTGTTCGAGGAAATCGTGGGCGATTGTACCACGTCGCGTGTGATTTTCTATGATTTTTTCGAATGTATTCAGAGATTGCGATTATAAAAAGACTCAAATTTTTAATAGAGAGAATAAATGTCACGACATTTTGAATTTTCAAACGAGTATAAAAATAGCGATATTAGCAATTAGAGATAATCTTTATATCGTATTCGAAATATTTTTATCTGATTTTCACAAAATGATACACAGATCTCGTTCTTTGTGCTGTGAATCAAAATTTTATTTCTATTTTCAACCCTAATTTTTTCATATTTATGGATTCTCTAGATTATTTTGATAGACTTAATTTATACAGAATTTGAACTTCTAACTTGATACTTTAAATATATTTTTCATTTACTAATTTAAAAAAGACAAGAACGAGAAAACACACAGAGAGAAAGAGCTTTAGATAAAATTATATATATAAATTAAATAGTTTGAAAAAAGGATAATCTGCCTAAAGTACCAAAATAGATATTAGAATTAAATTAAAAATTGAGATCAAAAGAAGGAAAATTTTGATTCGAATCATATTATTAAACATATTAATCATTCAATTATATTATTTTTTCATTATACATATAGAGGAGTTTATTAATTACTTATTTATATTTCTTTAAATTAAATTTTAATAAGCACATTATAATTTAAAACGTATAATAAATTGATATTATTTTTCACGTACTTTTTTAATTTTTTAATAATCCTAAATTGGAAATTTAATTTTATAAATTTATTTCCACAAAAATAAAACTCTTCAGAAATAAATTTAATTAATAAATCTAAAATAATATAATCTAAAATAAATATTTTCAAAATCTATATGAATATTATGGTAATTTTAACACTGTCCCATATATTTTATTTGCAAATTTTAAATCGTTCAAGGAGGCGACGAACAATTTGGGCGATCTTTCCTTTTCGATCCAACGCAGGTCGCGGATCGCAAGGAATTTCTCATGTCACGCTGCGTTACTTTATTTATCGACGTTGAAAGCCGCTTATAACCTTTTGCCTCCCGGAGTTAAAGAGCACACAGACGTGAAGATTTCCTGACATATAAAATCGATTGATGGAACTCGAGAGAGCATTGTCGAATTGTTCGCGGCAGAATACGCGGAGTTATAATTAACTTTCTTCCTTTCAATACAAGAGTATACGAATGATGTTAAAACACACGTGAATCATCTCCCTTACATAATAACAGATAAAACTCTAATTGACATTTTTCTAAATAAGACGAGAAACACTCGGCAAACTTTTGAACTTGAAATGTAAAAATAATCTTGCATCGAAAGATAACGCACAGTGAATACGCTATTGTAGTTTTCCTTTAGAGTTTGATGCCACGCGTTGAAATTTCCAACAAGGAATTCCGACGATGACGCAACGAGATGCTCGATGCTAAAGATTCTGTATCGCCGTTCCGAGGTCACGTGCAATCGCGAGAGCATTGACATTATTGTATCGTGACTCTCGCATGTTAATACGTTGTGACAATACAGTACTTTCGCTCAGGCACAATACGAGAGATACGAACAGAGATTGAAGCGCGCGGATCCCCTTTACCGCTCTAAACCTGACTTGGACCAGTTCGAAAATAAGCATATATATACCCGTACGCGTCCAAATAAAGTTTCACGTATATCGCGAACGCGTATTATGTTCTAGCCGGGCAATTAACTCGCTACTTGATTAACTAGGCAGAACCTGTCAACTTTCGCGGAGGGGGACTTTACCGAGGCGAGGAGCGAGAAGGGCGGACGGAGAGAGGAGGAAAAAGCGCGGACTCGCGCGCGAGAGCATCAAAGTTACGAAAGGGGAGTAAAAGACGAACACGCGGGAGGAAGGAACGCGGAGGGGGTCGGAGGAAGGGGGCCCACTCGACGTAGAGATGCCGAGGAAAGGAAAAGAGGGAGAGAGAGAGAGAGAGAAGGTACCATCCACGGTGACGGTCAGCGAGCGCGAGGTGACCTCTGACCCCTTCTTGCGTCCTCGTCTGCGCCCGGCATCGCTCGATCGCGGCTTCTCCGTCCCACTCCGACGGGACTCAAACGACTCCGTGGGGCCCTCCGTGAGGGTCCGGCGTGGGCGAAGCTTACGCGCGCGGGGGAGTAAAGAGGCGGCCGGGGCGAGCGGGAGGAGAGAATAAGACGAGGCAGAGGGGCCGTACGGGGAGAGGGGTGACGAGTTGGCCCGCGGGCGTCCCGGGACCGTGAGAACACCACCTATAATATTATTTAGTCTGCCCGATGCCTCGGTTCGCCTCTTCTCTCTCTTTCTCTCTTGACCGCGCGCTCCTCTCTCTCTCTCTCTCTCTCTCTCTCCTCGTCTCCTTCCTTACCGCACCCTTTTCCACTCTGATCACTCCTCTCTCTCTCTCTCTTTCTCGCCTTTCCTTGGAAGACCTCCTCTCCTTCTATATCGTACTCCATCGTACTCTCTCTCACCGTCTCTTTCTTGCTCTCATCCTTCCTTCTCTCTCTCTCTCTCTCTCTCTCTCCTTCTCTCTCTCTCTTACTGGCTCTTTTTTTTCCTCGTCTCATGTATGCGCGCGAGAGCGCGTGTACGGAATGTCTTTCTTTCTCCCTCGCTTTCGGTGCGCCCCGACACTGAAGAGGCAGCTAACTATAGGCGCTATACACGGCTTACTCGCGCGCATTAATTGCCGTCGTAAATTGTTGCGGCTTTGCCGAGTCCGAGTTGAGTCGAGTCCAGTCGAGTCGAAACGAACCCGCGGCACCCGAGGTATACGGTACCGCGGAAGAGAGTGCCCTTTTTTTGGCATGGCGCATTTTACTATTCACTCAACTTTACCTCAACTTCCACGCGTTCATTGAGATATTACACACTCGAATTAAGCGCCGATTGCTCGTTCTTATTCGGGCGAAAGGAAAAATTCTTGCGTCTTCGCGAATATTGTTCTTGTATGCAAAAAAGATGTGTCTAAAATTGATTTATAAATTGATTTATAAATTGATTTATAAATTGATTTATAAATATTATCTAAAATTGATTTATAAATATTATTATACAAATTAATTTTGAAGAATATAATAAATATTATTTAATAAATATAATAGATATTATAAATATTATAATAAAGAATATAATAAATATTATGTAATAAATATTATACAAATAAATTTTGAAGAATCATCAATTTTTTATAAATGAAAAAATAGTTTTTATAAGTTACTTTACACGTGTTGCGTATGAGTGTGCCATGTGTCAAGAGTGAAAATTGATTTATGCTACGTGAGATATGTTCACAAATTGACAGTCATTTATAGAATTGAATGAAAATTTTATATTTTCATTGATTGAAAAACTTAATGAGAAAAAGTATTATGGTAAATAATTACATGGAACATTAGATGCATTTCTTATTATTGGAACTTATTTCTTATTAGTCGAGTCGTCATTCATTTTAATTCATGGATTCCTTTATCAAGTATCTTTATATATAAAGAAATATTTCTTTCATGGTGTGTGAGACTCCTATGAAACGATGATCAAGATCTATCAAGTTATGTCAAGGATAACATAAAAAATTGATAATAACGTAAACTATATTTCTACTAACAGTAACATTATCTATATGAGAATTTTAAGAAAACCAGATAGGAAGAAAGAGTATATATCAAGTATTCTGAAAAAGAAGAAAAAAAAATATATATATATATATATATATATATATATATACATATAATATTGTAATTAATTTCAAAAAATAATTTATGTAAGAAATTTTTTTGTTTTGCGACTAGATATTTATCTAGTCTTATGTCATTTTATTTCATTTTAAATTATATAAACTTATTAGTATACATGAATAAATACATGATATATACATGAATAAATAAACTATAAAAATTTTGAATAAAATTAACACTAGAAAATAGACAATTATTGATTATTAACGTATTTTATTAAATGGATTATGTGAAGTATGTTCTGACTGTGAGATATTTTTTGTTTTTTTTTTATTTGTGTTTATGACATGTGCATTTATTAGAAAACTTTTTTTGCAATGTATAATATATTGCTCTTTTTATATTCTTTCGGTTTATGTAATGTCTAAATTTAGAAAGAGAAATGTGAAGAACATAATTTCTAATCTTCTTAAAGAAATTTAAAAAGATGAGAGAGAATATATAAAATTAAAAATATTTTAATTTAAAAATATTAAACAATTTTTTATACTATATGTTTTAAAAATATTAATGTAATTTAATTTTAAATACACTATATAAATATACTTGCCAATTTATGAATATAAACATCAGTTCAAGAAATGTTTTATTTTGTAAAAATAAAAATGTCAATATTATAGAGTTTTATTTTCCTTTTTTGCATTTTTTTATTATTTAATTAAATAAATTCTAAAATTTAATAATTTATAATAACATATTATTGAGCTATTATAATTTATATTTAAAAAATTTATCACAAAATGACATCATTAGTATATCTTCATAATGTTCTCTCTTGATTTTCTGAAAATTCTATTTAGAGTATAGAGTAATTAATAAAAATTAAAAGCGTATAATAAAAGATATAAATCATACTCTTTATAGAAATATTTCTTAATGTTGCTTTAATAAATGCAACGTTCGTTTCAGAATCGATCCGTCTCATACTTCTGAAATAACATCAACAATTTTATGTCGATACGACGCGCTCATAAATAATCTTTTATAATAATAAACAATCGAAAATATATTACAAACAAATTCAATATTTCGTAAATAAAAATTTTTCAAGATGTTTTCAGATACAGCACAGATTTCATGCGATTAAAAAATCCAAATATATCATGTATTAGTAATTAACTAAGAATTTATTTTCTGTACAAGTTCTTGATCTGGAATCCAAATAGAAATAAATGTGAAAATTTGCATCTTTTTTTTGACAAGTTAGGTTAAGTAAAATCGTTATACTTTTATAGAATAGGATAAGAAAAATCACATTTTTTATTACATTTTAGCTACATATTATAAATTTCTTCAATAAAAACAAAATAAAAGTATTTAGTTTTTTTATTTGTCATTATATTGGATATATTTTCTCTTATTTCGTATTTTTTCGTCAATGAAATGGATATAAAGTCTGCAAAATGCGGCTATTATACGATAAAAATATTAGTATTTGTTATCAGAATTTTAAAAATCTTCGATTCTATCTCTATAAAAAATTTAACCGATTTCTTGCCTCCATTCGATTAATTTTCATCAAAATTAAATATCAAAGAATGCTAATTAAACCACTGTAAATTTCCATCCAGATCAAGTGTTTTAAATATTCTGTTTATTTATAATATTGAATAGAAATCGGAAAAGAAATTTGGAAAAATATTAAAGGAATCAAATACATTTGCTTAGGTTTTGCATTAAGAATGACATTTTCAAAACATTACACCTCAGATTTGAATTTTTATAAACCTCCCAACTGGAATTTATAATCCTTTTGGAAATCTGATTAGATTCCAATTAGATTTCGGAAGGTTTTCTATAGCAGATGATAAATATAACAAATATAAAACTTATTGTTAGTAAACTTTATTAATTAATTTCAATTTTATAATTTCAATATATCATCTTAGAAATGTCAGTTATTTTCCTGTTATATCGAATCATCTTTTCACACGATGCAAGCTGTCCCCGCATCCACCCCATGTATAACATCCAGCGATATTTAATAAGGTCAAATGTGCGCTATATATATTTTTTATTGATTTATTTGTTTATTTATTGATGTCTACATGTTTACATTTTATACATACTTATATGCATATTTATACATTTGCCATTTGAAGCGTCTCGCGAAGGGAACGTTCGCTCGCGGGTTAAACAGCTGTTGACCCCCGCGATCGCGATCGCGATTCACGTTTCCGGATTCCCCCCCGCGGGACGCACGCGCGTGCGTCGCGGCACGCAAACCGGCACCTAACGTCAGACCGCGTGCGGTCAGGCCCCGTGCAAGCCGGGTCCAGGTCGAAACGTCGCACGACGGGCCGGCGAACGACTCGCGGGCCAGCTGTGGCTCTCTCTCCCCTGAATCCAGGGCCCGTTCCCCGCGAACGGACCCATTTTGCCTCGGATACCTGCCACCAGGTGGCTCCACCAGCAGTACCCAGCAGCGGCGGGCAGGGGCAGTCTTCGGGGCGCCTTCGCACCGCCAGCATCGCGCGCGCGTATCCTCTTTGCCTCGTTACCGTCGTACGTTCGAATACCCCCGTGTCGGAAGATCATCGCCGGGAACATGTGACGCGCGCTCGAGATCTCGTCACGAGTGTTTCGCACCGGAAGGGACACCGGCACGTGTGGTTCGACGGTTGCGACAGCCATCAAGATCAGTCTGGAGCCATCGGGTCGAGAATCGCCGATCGCCCTGCCAATGATACCGGCGGGACACGAGAGGCTAATCCGGGACGACTCGAACGACGGTGGAGGATGCAGCAGCAGCAGCAACGGGAAGAGGAGCGGCAGCAGCAGGAACAGGAGCAACAGAGACTCGTAATGGTACCGTCGTCATCGACCTCGTCCCCGTCGTCGTCCTCGTCGGCCACGCTCGCGACGGATCCCCGCGAGGCCGACGAGCACGTCGCCGAGATCGACGGCCTCGCGACGGGCTGCTCCGAGCTGCCGAATTTCGCGCTCCAGAGCGTCGCCCTGCGTCTCCAGAGCGTCGCCCTCCTTTCCGCGCTGCAACGCGCGGCTCTCCTGCCACCTGGACACGCCGCCGCGGCCGCCCTGAACCTGCAGGCGTTGGAGACGTACCTGACTCTTCATCGTCTTCACGCGAGCGGCGCGACTTCCGGCGTCGCGGCTTCCGCGCCGGCGGCGACCGGTCAGAGGTGCTCGTCGTCGTCGAGTATCTTGACCTCGAGTATCTCGACGACGACGACGACGACCGTCAAGGACGAGGCGCCGACGGTGGATCAGCTGCTCCGCGCGGCCGAGGACGACGAGGCGCGACTCGAGTTTGTGACCGACGATAATCTGGCGCTGGCCCTGCTGTCCCCGGAATTCCTGTCGAGCGAAACATCCGGGACGAGCGGCTCTCCGTCCGGCCACCACGAGCTGCTCCTGCGACGAATATCCGAGGGGAATAATCGCGCGAGCGCGTCGTCGACGACGTCGTCGGCGGCGTCGACCTCGCGAGTCTCGTCCACGGCCGTCCCGCCGTCGTCCTCATCGGCCTCCTCGGCCTGCTCCTCGTCGTCCTCGTCTTCGTCTTCCTCATCATCCGCGCAACACGCCTCGATCGCGGTGGACTCGAGTGTACCAAGGACTTGCCGGACGTCCAGGCCCAAGAAACAGTTTATTTGTAGGTTCTGCAGCCGACAGTTCACCAAGAGCTACAACCTGCTGATCCACGAGAGGACGCACACCGACGAGCGCCCGTACTCGTGCGACATATGCGGCAAAGCCTTCCGACGGCAGGACCATCTCAGAGATCACAGGTAACGTAATGACGAGCGCCTGTAACAACTTGATTCTTTTCCTGCGAGAGCGAACTTTATATACCTGCAGGTTTTTGCGCGATACGTATTATTGCATGCGCACTAAAAAGAATTTAAATGATTAATGAGGGAGATCGCTCAATTTTTGATTATATAAAAAGTGACTTTTAGATTCTCATATTAATAAAAACTTTTGAATTCTAGTCAGATATACATATAGACAATTTTATTATACGACATTTAAGGATAAATTATAATAAATTAATAATACATAAATAGTAAATAATAAATTATAATAAATTATAATAAATTAATAATAAATAATAATAATAAATAAATAGTAGAATATATTATAATAATATTTATTAAAATATCCATTTATTAAAATATAATTTTATTAATATATTAAATATTTAAAAAAAAAACGATATTAGTAAATTATAACATTTATTATAAAATAAATCATAAAATTTGTGTGTGTTTTGAATTAATAATAATAAATTTGCATTTGATTTGTGTAAATCATGCTTTTAATCGATTAAAATACATGCGGAGGAAATGAATGCTACGACGACACGTTGAAAATTGAGTCGAACATTAGTGTGCGTAAGAGTTTCGATGACGGTTTACTCGTATATTTATCGAATTCATTTCCTCCGCGCGATAGAAGAAAGATTTAGAGACCGCCGCGTATATTTATCTCTTTATTGCGTCGCAATTAATTACGCGCACCGCGTGCGATTTACGGACGGACGCAAATCCGCGGAACGCCTTCTCCAGCTCGCGTAATTACGACGGTGATCGAATGACGTGTACATTACATTTAATGCTCAACATGTCACAATACATTCATTCATTTTTCATGTAGTCACGACGTTTTTCATCCTCGCTTGATAACAAATAGCGTCGCGTGTACTACTTGGTGATTACTTTTTCAAACCATTATTAATTTACGAGCGTAAAAAAACTCAACGAGATGTAAGAGCTGTATAATTTTACGAGAGAAAGAGAGAAAGAGAGAGATGATTTAAAGGGAAATCAGTCGTGAGATTCAAACCGAGGATGTTTCTCTTTTTTCTACAGGTATATTCACAGCAAAGAGAAACCGTTCAAGTGCACCGAGTGCGGCAAGGGATTCTGTCAGAGCAGGACGCTGGCTGTCCACAAGATTTTGCACATGGAGGAATCGCCGCACAAGTGCCCCGTCTGCGCCAGGAGCTTCAATCAGAGGAGCAACCTCAAGACCCATCTTCTCACGCATACGGACATTAAGCCGTATCATTGCGCCTCCTGCGGCAAGGTCTTTCGCAGGAACTGCGACCTGAGGAGACACTCGTTGACCCACAATCTCGGGGTGCCGTCGTCGCCGCCATCGGATATACCCACCGTTTCCGGTTCGAGCACCATCGTCCTCCAGGAGACGTCTTAGTGTCCGACTCTTTTTTTTTTTTTTTATTCTTCTCGAATGACTCGAGACGACCGTCCATGGCACGCTTCCTTCCAACGGATCGATATTGAGATTATAATTGTAAGGTCGCCGCAATGATTCGATTTCGATCTCTTCTATTGGCGAGTTTCGCTCTGTATCTACCTGCCTTGTACTTATCTATCATCGTTAACGTTTAGAGCGTAATCATTGTTATGTACATCACGATAAGTGGTATATCGTATACGGAGATTTACGTGCACGTTTAGATCTGTAATTGTTCTATGTTATGCGATACTCTTTGATAATAACGTATAGAGGAATGCCTCTCTTTCTTCAACTGTGTACCTACCGTACTTACGTGTCCGTTGTGTTCTGTCTGTACGTGTGTGTAAAATAAACATTTATTATTATTTTTTAACTCGGAGTCTCTCGTCTACACCCTCACTTACTCTCTTCAAGCAGCCGATCGAATTGGGCCTAAATTCGAGCACTGGGGCTTTCCACAAATGGGATTTTATGTATTCGAGATTTCCTACGTACATTTCATTCCGATTGAAAAAAGATAAAAGTTAATTTTAACAAAGGATGTCGCTAGACCCGTTATCGCGATAGAATCGAGCGAGTCCATCGCCCTTTGATATTTATTGGACTACAAGCGAGCTAAGCACGCGCCCAATTTAACACGCGTAAATAAATTGGTCTACGTTTGTACATGTAGCAGCGCGAGACGTGTTTTTCAGCCAACTTAATCTTCCCATGTGTGATTGTTCGAGATGTATAAATCAGGTGGTTGGATAGTATTCCACGCGCCGGTTTAGTTGAGCGAGAGTATGTCGGCCCGACCGAATTCCGATCCCTCTGGTATTAAACCGGGAGGATCTCTCTCCTCGCCTCCTCCTTTTTTATCCGTTCCGCATATCCAAGCTAGGGGTATAAGCCGATGACGGGCCGGAGAAGAAGAAGAAGAGGAGAGACAAAAGGGCACGGCTGGTGAAGTTAAAGGGGAGGAGAAGCTGGAGGTGGAGCAGGAGGACGAAACGCGACGTGTATTGTGTTACAAAGAACGGGGCCGCCAGGTGCGCGGGACATGACACCGCGATACGGTGTCTAGAGTTACGTTTCTCCTCTCGAGGGTGCAGGGTGCAGGGAGGGAGGGGAGGGAGACGGGGTCTCCCTCGACGACGCTATTTCGGGGATCTATCCTCGGGTCCTCTCCTCCGGCGTGTCGATAAGCGGAATCTTGGCGGCGGACCGGTCCCGAAGAAAGGGCGGCCCATCCGACCGAACGTACGCATGTATGCGCACGTAAACCCGGGGACTTTGGAGCTTTCATAAATTCTTACCGGCGGACATTCTACCGCGAATTACGGCCCGTCGTTTTACCGCAAAACCCGCGTTGGCCAAATCGCGTTTACGGCGAGGCGTACATATGAAACGTTGCGAAGAGACCAGGAGAGAGGACATTGTCGGCGATGATGTCCCGGATGATGCCGAAATGACTTCTCCCGGTGGGAGATGGCTTTTTGTGTCGCGTACATCCGTAAAATAGCGTCTCGGCGACGACCGTCACGTTTCGAGGACGCTGCGGAACCTTTAAAGCGTCCCTCTTAAGCCAGGCACGTGTCCGAGACCTCGGTTTTGGGTTAACTCGACAATAGAGAAGGAAGATTACCAATATTATCGCGATATTTAACTTGCAGTTGAATGGAAAAGAGAGGCTTGGATAATATTTTTTAATAGGATCCTAAGGAAATTTTACGACGCTACTCGTGTAGCATGACATTATAACGTAGTGTTAAAATGTCACATTTTTATGATGCAGATATCCTAGATAATCTACAGATAATCCTAGAATATCCCTGCATAATTTCCGATGAGAGGCATATCGATATTATCGAACGATAAGATCAAAGTCGTACCGTAAATTATTCGCTCGTTTTAGCTGTCTAATTATTACGTACCCATAAGAGTGTTTATTTTAAGAGTGTTCGCGCAATATAATTTCCGCACAACTGCGATGTACATATTATATCCTACCCTCTCTCATTATCCCGAGAAACTTCGCGCCTGGAAAGAGATTATATAATTTAACGCTTATATAATTATACAGAGCGTAAGAGCGTAGGCGGCACATCCTTAATCAAGGCGATCGTGCTATAATGAACATCGAAGCCATCTCGTCGCACTTTTTCCGATTGCTCGAATCTATAATAGATACGTACTCATATATAATCATGTATAATAAATAATATAAAATAATGCAAGGCAATAATGTGCAATAACGTATGTGCAATTTGGATAAGTGGAGAAATGTCAAAGGAACGAAAAAAACGGACGCAGCTTGGTTTTGGTTGACGATACCGAGTAGAGCAAGGGTACTACTCGATGCGAGGAATCGTAGAGGTGAGGAAAGAAGGGGGAGGGAGGGGGGGTTAGAGGGAAGCCAAGGGGACACAGAGGGACCACACGCGCGCACCGCCCACAGATACGCTATCACTTGGCTACAACCCGACGTGATCTGCATGCGCGTGTCCCCTCTTCGTCACGACGCGGGGAGGAAGAAAAAAGGAAAGGGCAAAGGAGCATATTCTCTCCCGTGTTTCCACTTAGGTGTGCCCCCTTCACCCCGCCGATCTATCCTGCGCTGATTTAAGGAGTCGGCGAGGCGTCGATCGCGCTTTGTCTCTTTTTTTTCTCCTTTTTTTTTATTTTTCTTCCTTCCTTCCTTCCTCTCTCTACATCTCTTGTGGGTAAATTCAAAACGAAGGGATGAGACTTTTCACGATGTCATATCGCGATTTGTATATCCTGATGGATCCGTCGTTTATCGTGGTGCCTTACGATTCCGTTATCTCGGTGCAAGAAAGGTCTTACTGTTCATAACGTTTAATTTTTTTGGATATTTATGCTTGAAAATTATTTTTATTTGTTATTTGAAAATTTTTTTTAAAGGTTAAAAAATTATTAACTATGAAAAATTATATTTATATGTATTTTAAAAGTTATATATATATATTATGAAATTATATTATATGAAATTATATACAATTATATATATTTCATATTTATATTTATACTTATATATTTATATTTATATATCATATATTTATCTCTATATATATCATTTATATTTATACAATATTTATATGCATAATACTTAAATAATAAATTATTATTAATAAAAATATGTTAGACATATTTGATATACTTTTGCAAAGTTTTCAGTATTTAGTCGATCAACAGATCTTTCTCTAGTGCCATCAAGTAATTTTAGGCAACTAAGAAATAAGGAGAGAATTTTAGATAATAACGCGTGTATCTATTGCAAGAGAATATCTTTCGCGGTGAACAGTGATTGCTCGATGGTTTTTTTCGAAAAACGATCCGGCAATAAAACGATTACATTACGGCCACGTAGCGCTAGTTATATCGATTTCATCCGCAAATTATCATAAAAAGAGCCGATCCTCAGTCGCGGATCATTAATCCGCGAGGCTTCGCGTTGCACAATGCGATACTCCTCCTTCGCGAATAATTTCGATACTTTCGCAGCCTCCCGAAACAACATCAGCCTACTCGTTACGTAACTCAATCTCGGCGTATTTACTACTTATGCAAATTGAAATCGAGCGATGCCGCGTAAACCATGAATTTACTTCCAGGAGAGAGAAAGAGCGAGAGAGACAAACGTCATTGTCGAGTCGCGTGATCGGTGGAAGGAAGAGAGGATCTTCCGAAGAGCGCTCGAGATCCACCGCTGGCACGCGTGCCAGTGTGCACGCGTTTTTTTTTTTCTCGTCTCCTTTACCTACGCACCTACGGGGGTATAACATCTCCATACGCGGCAGAGAGCCGAGCTGTATGTAGGTACTTACCGATATACGATCGGCGGACGGTCGTCGTCGCGCGCGCGAAAGACGGCCACCCGCGATAGGGTACCCCAGACGCGTATGTATCTCGCTTAACGGAATCACCGCCGAAGGAATTTATGACAGAGATGCACTTACGAGCCGTTAAATTGATTCCTTAATTTTGCACGGATTGATAATATAATTTGAAATGAAACAGTAACTTTTCCCTCGAGCGCAAGTTATTTTTTCCTGCAGTTTTGTTTTTCAATAAATACGATTCTGGCTTCCAGATTTCGGGCTCCATTACATCTTAATTTAGAAAATTTTGGTATAATATTTATGTATAATATTTATTGTATTAATTTATGTATATAATTTATTTATGTATATATTTTGATTGTTAGATTTGTATTGGATGAATTGAAAAGAAATGCTTTTGATAAATATCATTGAAAGCTTGATAGAATTTCAATGATCGAATTTACAAATTGTTTACACAATAGATTCCATATTTAATCATAAATAACTTATTAGCCATAATTAATACAATCGATTTCTTTTAAAGATTGAAAATTCCCACACATATATGATTTTTTGATTGCAATAAAACTTTTGTAACACGTTGCATTCCATAGCTGTGACATTGTCAAATACATGAGAATAGTTTATTTTTGCAATTTTGATTAAATTTCCTAAAATTGTGACGAAATGATTAATCTGTATTTTGCATTTTTAATAAATATATAATAACAGTTAATTATAATACATTATCATTATTATTATTATATTATTATTATTATTATATATTATTATACATATAATGATATAATATGTAATAATATATAATATCTGATAATAATAATAATAATTATATATTATTATTATAGAGAAACTTGTAGAGAAATCATCTCTTGAAAATTTATCATCTACATCGTGTTTCGATGAAAAAACTCTGACGACATATCAGACCGACTATTTGATGTTCACCCTGAAAATAAAGGGACGCGACGAAACGTAAACAACAACGTTATACGTTATAAAATTCGGCGTCCGCTTTTCACGGCGTACCTATAGAGCGCTATTGTTTACGCGTGTTTATATCAATGTCATTCGTGCGGTGAGACTCGAGTGAGTAGGCAGTGTCGTGAGTCGCTCTGCGTGTCGTACTTATTATCACGATTGTTCTTCACGATTATTAACGATTATCAACTCTTGTGCGTAAAATTGCTAATGTCACATCTTCGGAAAGGAACTTCTCGGTCGTCGACAGGATGTGTCGCGTGTATGATTCCCTTCCAAAGTCGAGTGACTCGTGTCTTGCATACAATATTGTTTATAATTTAATTTTTTTTAAATAGAATTTATTGTAACTTTTGCGTCGTTAATAATATTGTAATTATGTATTTAACTACGTAATTAAATTTAGAGAATTTAAGGTAATCGAGCAAATTGTATACGCAGTTATATGCAATTATATAATTATAATTATCATTCATCTCGTCGAATTATATAAACGCAATTAATATCGAGAGTGTCGCAAAGAATCGCGCG